TTAAAAAGACGGAAGCGGTTTTTTAGCCCCTCTGTATTCAATTAATTTGTTTTAATTGTTTTTATTATATTTAAATAGTTTGTAAAAAAGTCAAAAATAACTTGAAAATGTTTTATAATCGTAGTCTATTTATGATTTGTTTTTCGTCATTGTTTTCGTAACTTTCCTGAAAGAACACATAACCTGTGGCTAAACTATGTTGTTTTTTCCAATAAAATAAGAAACAATTGATTTTCCTTTTAAAATATTCTTAAAGAGCTTTGGCAATGTTGTTGTCGTTGTTATTTTTTCTTTTTGTAAATGAAAAAACAATAACAAAAAAGACAAAATAAATAACATTTTTATTGTTTTTACCATAAAAAAAGAAGCGGTTTTTCCCCTCTTTAATGGAAAAAAGCTGTCGTGACTGGGATAGATCTATAATTTTGATATAATAAAATTATTTTTATAGAATTTGTCATTTGAAATTACCGAATTGTTTTTGAACTTTTTTAACCAATCAAATAAAAGCAATAAATCGAATGTTTTTCTATACCTTATAGTTGAATCCAATAATTTACTATAATTTTCACAACAGCTTTTTTCAGTTACTGCAATGAAGTTTATTTATAATTAAATGATTGAGTATTTAACAAACAACACATGTTTTTATTAATTTTTTAATGAATTAAAAAAATAATGATTTGATTGTTAAACTAAAAAATATCACTTGGTATTATTAAATGTTGTTTAAAAAAACAATAATATTAGTGCCCTTATTTTTCATTACAATTTTGTCACAGTCGTGTTCTGTAATTACTGAAATGACAACATCAACAGAAATCACAAGTAGTTGTACACTAACCAAAAGCGTGATATTAGGGACTGACACGAATCCCGATGTTGTTTTACTTGTTAAAAGTAATGCTGAAATAAATTTAGATGGACAATATTATTTTGGAGGGTTTGGGGAAATAGAATTAATTTCATCATGTTCAATTAGGACCACTGCATACCCTATTAATTTTAACGATAATGTAACACTTGTAATGAACAATACTTCATACATCAGTAGTGTATCTGGACTTGTTGTATTTAATAATAATTCAAATCTGATAATGGTTTCAAACTCATATACGGATCAAATTCCATCCATTGTTGTGAATGACGATTCCACAATAACTTTAAGTGATAATTCAATGATCGATACATCAAATTTCAATACTAATGGAAAGCCAAAAGTTACTTTAAATGGGAGTTCAAAACTCATTGCTTCGAGTTCAATACAATTAAATGGTAGTACAACACTTTTAATAAGTGACAACACTTTTATGTCGACACCGACCTTTTCTTTAATAGATAAAACAAACGTCCAATTTAAAAATAACGCGATGGTGAATATTACTAAATTAAATTGTATTTCAAATACTGTACTTGTCATAAATGATTCATCAATTGTTGAATCTCAAAGTGACATCACTCTATTTAATTCTTCAAAAATATTTCTTGATGCAAATGCATTGTTGAATACGCAAGGTAATTTACAAATGAATGGTGATGCAACACTCACAATAAGCACAAATTCTTCTTTTAATTCTTCGGGTGGGTTGGAACTATACAACAAGTCATATATCACAATAAAAGGAAAGGCTACTATGAACACATCAACACAAGTCAATCTTTATAATACATCAAAGTTATTAATTAAGGAATACGCTGTAATGAATTTAAATGAAATGTTGTATTTAAATAACGATTCAAGTGTTATTCTCAATGATGAAGCTAAAATAAATAGCAATTCGAGTGTTACTGCATTGAAATTTGTGAAAATAATGCTTACAAATAATACATCTATTAATGTGATGAATTATATCAATTTGAGTGGGAATTCGAAAATAACAATGGTAAATAGTGCACAAATGCATATTTATAAAGTATTTATTGGTGGTGAAAATTCAGGTCTTATTATGAAAGATGACAGTTATGTCCAATCAAATACAACATTCAGTTTGCATATATTTTCAAGTTTAACACTCGAGGGAAATGCAAAATTATTTGCAGTCGAGTTGTTAGATTTTTATCATACTGTGACAGCCACTGTAAATGATAATGCTTCCATTATTTCTTTGGAACAAATTAAATTCGGAATAAATGCAATTGGGACATTTAAAAATAATACAAAAATAGAATCACAAAATATATACACTAATGGTTATGCAAATTTAACTATAAAAAACAATGCAACTTTTACATCTACATCGGAATGTAAATTCTTTGATAAAACAAAAATAAATTTTGAAGGAAATGCAAAAGCAGTATTATTCTATTTGTTGGTGTCTAATTCAACAACTTTATCTATGAAAGAATATTCAACGATCGAAGCAACAAACAACGTCAATTTTGAAACAACTTCGACTATTACATTTGATAATAATTCAAAGATGTTTGTGAATGGTAATATTATAATTAAGAATAGTTCACAACTCAACATGTATAACTTTTCATATGTGTCAACAAACTCAAATTGTTATTTAAGTCAAAATGCAACAATTCGAATTTTAAATTATTCTACATTTGTTGTCAAAAATATATTTGAAATGATTGCAGGGGTTATTGAATTTGGTGACGAGTCTTATTTTAATACAAGTCAATTTATACTCAAAACAAAAGGAAAAATCTATTTAAAAGGAAATAATAACAATTTACTTCTTCCGAAAATTGAGACTAACGTATTAAACTGTTCTAATGGTGGAGAAATTAATATTTTTTCAAATTCGGTGTTTTATTCTGAAAGTGCTTGGTTTGATAATGTTACAATAAATTTATTCTTAAGAACTATTAAAAACTTTCCTTTAATTTTTACATACAATGTAACTTCACTTAATAATGTCAATCCAAATGCAACCGACTTCGATTTGTTTTACTCGGAAACGCCATATACTGGAACACTTCCTAATAACACACAATTGTTGTTAAATGGTAAATTGCTGAGATATGGAAGCTCAAAAAAGATATTTTGCCACTTGTACAATTTTGATTTGACAACACAAAAAATGATGTTCTTTGAGTCTTATTGTCCATGTGAAGACACAGAAGACTGGTACATCACTCCTTTTGATAACGTCACTGCTTTTGCAATTGAATCTCACAAACAAAAGACTACAAAAAATGAAATTCAAGAAGATGACGAATTTTCAAGTGAAAGTGCGACAATTGGAAACAATAAAATTTCTTTTTACAGCGCAAACGATGTTACTGTTGTTGGAATTAAGTCAAGTGAAGTTGTAAGTGCTGAATTGAAATTGCTCACAAAGAAAGTACTTTTCGTAGCAGAAACCAAAATAAGTTACAACGAGTTTGTTTGCAATGCCGCATATAACACAGAAAGTGTTTTTCAATGTGTTTCTGGAGTTGAATGTCCTACGGGATATTACAACACAACAACAAAGAAGTGTGAACCGTGTGAAGATATTATATGTATTTCATGTGGTACTCAACCAAATACATGCATTCATTGTAAACCAAATTATATATTGTCTGATGGAAAATGTGAAGAAATCACAAATTGTGTGTCATATGGTCCAAATCGGTGCAAAAGATGTTCTTCGGGTTTTGTGTTGAAAGGAGCAACTTGTGTAAAAGGTGAAAATTGTCTTCTCACAAAAGGAGATGGAAAATGTGCGATATGTAATATAACCAATGGATATATGTTGAAAAAAGGTGAATGTGTCACTGTAGACGAAAACAACGATACCATAAATAGCAATAACATACTTTCGTGTTTTAACGGGTACACATACAATTCTACAATGTGTGTGAAATGTGATGAAATAGATCCAAATGCTGAATATTGTGAAAATGGTAAATCGACGAAGTGTGCTGCAAAAAGTGAAATGACAATAAATGGAAAATGTGAGAAAATCAGTTGTGAAATACCAAATGATGAGAATGGAAGATGTGAAAATGACATATTGAAATGCTCATATCTGTTAAATAAGCAATGTGTCGAATGTGAAATTGGGAAATTTCTAACTAACAACATGTGTGTTGAAAAAGCGGAAAACAACTGCGTTCTTCAAAATGGATTAACATGTAAACGGTGTGATGACTCGTATTACTTTGACAACGACACACAAAGATGCGAGAAGTGTAATGATAATTGTTTAACATGTTTTGAAACACCAACAAAATGTATAAGTTGTGGTAATGACACTTTTATGTCCAATTATAAATGCGACTCAAATGAAGAGTTAAAACAGAAATGTGACCAAATTGCAAGTGTTACAAGCGGTTGTGTCATATGCAAAAATGGGTATTATAAAACTGGACTGAATTGTTTTGAATGTGCTGAAAGATGCTCAACGTGTAACAATGAAAATAGTTGTCTCACCTGCAACACCAATTATTATAAGACAAACAACGGCGACTGTCTACCTAAAAGCAACATCATTGGATGTGGCGTTGAGGTGACACAAAGTGGGTGTTCAAAGTGTGGCGATGGGTATTTCCAAGTCAACACAAACGAATGTCAGAAGTGCGACTCAAGTTGTTTAACATGCAATTTATACAGTACTAAATGCACTTTATGTGACTCTTCACTTGTTTTGCTGTCAAACGGAAGTTGTGTTGGTCTCTTTAACATAGCAGAATGTAATAAAATTAAAAATTCGAAGTGTGTGAAGTGTTCATTTTGGAACACCCCAAATGACGATGGGACGTTGTGTGAGTCACATGTTGTGTGGTGGGTCATACTTCTTGGTGTTATTTTTGTTATTATTGTTTTAATAATAATAACAATTTTAATTGTGTTTATAACAAAAATAGTGTTGGACAGAAAACACCAAAAAGATACAGAAAAGACAACAACATTGTTTAAAATGGACAGGTCAAATATTCATTTCGTCTCAATTACAAAAGGCATTTGTGTATCTTCTGAATTAGTTGACTTTAATATTGAATCGAGCAATATACCAGTGAATGAAGAAAGCAAAGCATTAATATGTGTTGGTAATGAACTCAAAAATGTCATCAAAGTCCAGTTCACAATATTAACAAACATTGACAAATTTATTTTTAAAGTCGAACCAGAAGTCGTTTTAATAAAAAGGGGGCGTGCTTGCGAATTTTCACTTTATTTAACACCACTTTGCACCTGTAAAATCACCACAACAATTCAAATTATCTCAAAAAATCTGAAAACCGAAGAAGAAAATTATAACACAATAACAATCAACGCTGTAACTTCTCAATCGACACGAATTGATTATGACGAGTTGGTTGAAGAAAACAAGCTTGGTGAGGGGTCTTTTGGTATTGTGTACAAAGGAATGTACAGAGGAAATGTTGTTGCAATTAAAAAGATGAAACAAATTAATAATTCGGATGAAGAAAAATTAATTGATGAATTCGAAAAGGAAGTGCAAATGTTAGACAAGTTTAGGTGTGATTACATTGTCCATTTCTATGGTGCTGTTTTTATACCAAACAAGATGTGTATGGTGACTGAATTTGCACAATTTGGGAGTTTACAAGACTTAATTAAACATAAAACAAAAGAAGAAATTGAAACTAAGTTACGAGTCAAAATGTTACTTGATGCAGCTAAAGGTATTTCATATTTGCATGAGAATGGGATATTACACAGAGACATCAAGCCAGACAACATTCTTGTGTTATCACTTGATGTGAATGAAAAGGTGAATGCAAAATTGACAGACTTTGGAAGTGCAAGAAACGTCAATCTACTGATGACTAACATGACTTTCACCAAAGGTATAGGCACTCCAAAGTATATGGCACCCGAGGTGTTGGACAGAAAGAAATACAAGAAACCTGCTGATATATATTCATTTGCAATGACTATGTATGAGGTGTTACAATGGGATTTCGTGTTTAAAAACGACGATGAGAGGTTTCTACATGTTTGGGATATCGCAGATTTTATTTCAACTGGTAAAAGATTAGAAAGACCACAAAATATCTCAATAAAAGAGTTTGACATCATTCAAAATGCTTGGGAACAAGACATCAAAGAAAGAATACCGATTGAAAAAGTTATTGAAAACCTGGAAGAATTGAATCATTGATTTATTTTATAAATATTCGTTTGATTCAATTGTGTTATTTTGAGTAAAGTATTTACTTTTATTTTTTTCTTTCAGACCAATTATTATAATTATCCAAAAACTCTTAACAAGTTTTTTTTTGTGTGTTTTTATTTCCATCAACTTTTTACATGAAAGACCCAATTGGCCTTTATTATTGTTAAATATAAAAAATAAAAATAAATAAACAAATTTATATTTGATAATATATATAAATTATAATAATAGTATATAAATAATAAAATAAATATTGGTATGGTTTCAATTAAATTAATGTTGAACAGATTTACCTTGGGTTAGTGATACGAAGCATTGTATTAAAAACTCAAGAAAACGCACTCAAACAATCTGTCTGTGCACCCGTTTTATCCACGTTTTATCCTCCTTAGTCGCGGATCACCCGCTTGTGGGAAAAGGACATTTGAGTTTAATCAGTACGGAAAAAAAATAGTTTAAATGGGGCGTTTAAAACAGTGGCTGAAAATGGAATAATACTTGATTATTGTTTTGGTCGTGATAAAATCAGTCGGTTTCAACACAAAATCATAAAGATATTATTATTTATATAATAATTATACTATTAATTTAAAAAAACAAAAAAATAAATTGTAGAAAAAAATAAATAGGTCACTATAATGACAAAAATTTGTCAAGCGACGAGGGAGTTCTTGTCGAGAAGATAACCATCTATATTGATCCTTATTATTTTTTCATATGAAAACAACACGAAATTGGGTCTAAAATTCAAAAATGTTATTAAACCACTGTCGGAACTTTTCAAATTGTCTTGAATTGTCGATGAACATGATAAATATGGATAGAATGACAGTCGTGTACTATAAAAAGAATAATGAGGGTTTGTGTTTTATTGGAATAAAAATATTGACGACGGGAAAAGTGCTAACAATTTGGGTTAATTCCAAAAATTGCAATCAATTAATCTTTTCGTTATAATTTTTATTCAAATCTTGAGGATTATGTCTCTGTTGTTGTAATATTTTTAAATAAGATATTGTGTGGCAAAAAATCCTCATAAAAAAATGAAACGGGTTTACAATGATTTTTTTAAAGAAAAAGCAAAATTAACTTTTTTTCTATGCTATTTAAAAAAAATAAAAGGGGAAACCGCGAACGTGTTAATTTTTGAAAATAAACATTAAATGTAGACCAAATATATCATCAAAATTAAAAAGTTATTATTAAACTAAAAATAAAAAAAAATTTACAAGTCAGTACTACAGACATGGTACCAAAGTTTCGACCAGTATTATGATTTCGACAAATAATTATTAATATAACCTTGAGAGCCCTAAAATAAGAAAAGTTATATTTAAAACAGTTTTTAGAAATAAATTAGAAAACTTGTTCGTTATTATTTAATAAGTAATTAAACAATAAGTCGAAACCTTGGTACTCGTAGAAACTTTAGTCCCACATTTATAAACCCCTAAATTTTTTCTTAAACTTTTTAAGTTGTAAATTGGTTGGTCAAAACCAGAAAAATATTTCAAATTGAAAACCGAAATTTTTGGATAACGATTGTGAGCCAACTCCAAAACGCGTTCTTGAAACTCGTTTTTCGATGTCACTTCTTTCGGTTTTACACAAGATGCGACTCGTTATGATCATTTTTTGAACAGTTATAAACAAATGTATTTTTGAATTTTATTTTTATGTTTTGTTTTTGTTATACAACACCTCTTATTGTCCGTTTTTATATCGTAATTGTTCGGGATAACGTCGTTATTAACTTAAATTGAAACTTAAGATGTTTAAGACAATTTGATTAGGGTGTTTACCATACTTGTATAAGAAAAATACATTTGTTTGATATTATTTTGATACAATCAAAATAAAACAAATTATTTAACACAATACATTTCAAACTCTAAAATAATAATTCATCTTAAATTTAAACGACAGAGTTTTCAATTTAATATCAGCCGTTCATTTTACACGATCTACTTGAAAATCAAATAACAATAGTTTACTGATAGTTTCAACTAAAAATACAATTAAATATAAATAAACAAATAAAAGATGTGACGTGTCGACATGATATAAAGATACACAACGGTTTGTAATCATTCAGATGTCGTGGGACGGTTACACAGCTTCAATGATTGGTGCAGGCAAAGGCCACGGTGGAATCATTCTTGCCACTAATGGTGCAATCATGTCACAGGTTGGCTTGACAATCCAGCAAGCAGAAGCTACAACTATTGCAAATGCAATCATGTCTGGAAATGTCGGAGACTTCCAGTCAAAGGGACTTCACATTGGTGGTGTCAAATACACCGTCACAAGAGCTGACAAGGACGAAGGAACTGTCTTTGGGAAGGCTGGTGCAGCTGGTGTTTCAATTTACAAGGGAATCAAAGTCATATTGATTGGATACTTCAAGGACGCGTCTGTTTCTGCTGGACAGAACTCAGATGCTGTCTACAAGCTCAAAGATTATATGGGGCAATCAGGATATTAAATTCATTCACTTCTTCATCATTACTTGTATTTTACTATATATTATAATTAATAAACTAATAATTTATTTTTAAACAATTAATTAAAATTAATTATTAAATAATAAACTATAAATATAGATTTCATTTTATAAATTTTAAAACAAAAATTATTGATAAAAAATAAAAATGTGGAAGGTGGGAGTTGAACCCACGATTTTTTGTAATTTAACTTATTACCTGTAATCTAGAAAGATTAAAGTTTAAATAAAATGTTTTACCAACTAAACTACCTCCACATTTAATAAATAAAAAAAAATTATATGGTAATTTATATTTATTTTGGCAATTTAATAAAATTAATAAAAATATTATTTAGTCTAATAACAACAAACTCAAAAAACATTTATGAAGTAATATTTCAAATTATAAAAATTGAATAGAAACGTTCATACAAATTATCACCAACAATAGTAATAAAACAAGTTCTGTCATTTTTCTAATACTATTTAAAACAATTGGTTCATCAATTAAATCTGAAAACACCACATTCTTTCCTTCTTTTAATACACACTGGTTTTTGTGTATTTTTCGACTTTAATTGCTTTTCCATCACACGTTTTTCCAATAAAATTTTTGAGTTTATAAGTGTCATTATTTGTTGATGCTTGTACAGATGTTGCTGTTCCAATTTTTGTGCAGTTAATTTTATACAAATTAATTTGTGGCGCTCCAATTGTGTCTTTTAAAATACAATTTTCTTTGTTACTATTTTTAAATTGCGAGACTTTAAACTTTGGATTTTTTTTAAAAACTCTACAAATCCGAAAATTTGTGTTGTTTCAACTTCTTTTAATTAATTGCAATCAACACCAACTAAATACAACACAACATCGTTTTTCTTTGCAAATTTTAAAGAGCCATTTTCACCATCAAAGTAACATTTATTGAACTGGTAAACCGTTTCAAAATCACTTTTTGTAGCAACACATTTTAATACACCTCGTATTATTTCTTGTGAAAATATCGTTCTTTTATCTAACACAATTTCAGTACACTCACCAAAAATGTAATATTCAGTTGTTTGTTGACCAACACATGACAATTCTGAATACTTTGCATTTGTGTACACGTCACCATTTTTACTATAATCGTGGGGAAGAAATCTCTCTGTATTCAAATGTGTATGCAAAATCAACAGTTTGGTATTCTACGAGTCCGTATGGTGTTAACCCAGACAAGACTATTACTATTTGATTCATTCTAACAAATTTAAGATAAATGCTTTCTAGTGTTATGTGCACTTTATTAAATTCAAGAACATAAAGACCATCTTTTACTTTTTTATTGCAAATTTGGTTGTATCAGAAATAGTTTTCTCAGGTTTTGTAGATACCAAATAATACAATCCGATTGTTTGATTGTCTTTAAAAGGGCCACATTCACCTTTCAAATTTATATTTATCTCATTAGTTTCATTAGAACAGTCAAATGTGGGGAAATACATATACTTATATGAATCACCACTCTTCTTTATTTTAAGTGAGCCACTTAGTGTCACTGTACATTCATTAACATTTTCTATTATAAATTTCGAGTATGCATTTTCTTCTTTAAATAGACAATTTGAATGTAAGTTGTAAACTCCTCGCATTATATCATGTGCTGGTAGTGTAACCAAAAATCAAATGTTCCCGCAAGTTCTTGGTTGTCTGTTTTAAAGAGAGTGTCACTTGAGTTTTTTTATAATTTTCGGTAATATCATTATAATGTAATATCTTGATATATGATACTTCCTCATTGTTTATACCATTGTAAACACACTTCCCGAACTCAAAGTACACCATTTGATGCGTTTCATGATCATAAATTTCAGACGCATAATTTGCATTTTTATCAACTGCACTTTCAAAAATTGGATCTGAATAAATGACGCCATTGGAACACTTGCCGTATTCATATATTTGGCAATTTATTGAAGAGTCGGAACAATCGTTGGATGAATAAGTTTCAAATACATAAATGTCATCTATTCGAGTCACTTTTCTAAAGTATTCTCCAACTGCAACACAATTTCGTGATATCAATTCGTAATTTAAATATTGTTGTTCATCTGTTCCTGTGCACTTTTCAGTTTCACTGAATATATTTTTAACAACATAATTATCTGGGAAATTAACGAAGAAACACATATTATAAAGTTCGCTCTGATCTTTAATTTCGACAAGCTTGTCACATGAAAGTCCCCTTTTCAATATCTTTATTTTTCTAAACCTTTCTAATTTGAAAAAAGTCCCATCGAAACTTCTATGACATTTATCTAAAACATAAATTTCTACATTTTTTCCTTCTTTTTTCACTACATAATTAGCTCTTGGATCCACAGCAGGTTGAATAAAGTCAGAAAATATTCCTGAAGTCATCAATAAATCAGTCTGACATTTTTATTTGGTAAAAGTTGTTTCATCAAGAGCATCGATTTTACAAGAATTTGATATTTACTTGAAAATTGTAATAAATTAGTTATATTTAAAATATATAAAGTCTATTTCATATCATTAAAAAACCATATTTTAAACCCCTTTTGATTGTTATGTTGATAAAAACGTTTAGCAAATTCACTTATAATTATATATTGGCAAAATAGTTTAAAATACGACCAACCATTTATTATAACACAAATCAAGTCTAATTTATTTGTCACAATAAATATAATTACAATCGAATAAAAAATAAAAAAAACATTTTTTAAAACAATTAACAATTTGATTTGTGTACAAATTTATTATGGTTGCAATTTCATATATGGGACTAAAGTTTCTACGAGTACCAAGGTTTCGACTTTCTATTTAATTACTATTTGAATACAAATGAACAAGTTTTCCAATTTATTTCTTAAAAACTGTTCCAAATTTAACCTTTCTTATTTTGTTACAATGGTAAAAAAATTATTAATTATTAGTCGAAACCTTAGTACCATGTCTGTATTAGTTAAACTATTTTAATTTTGTCAATAATACTAAGAATAGAAACTGAATTCAAATTTTAATTAATAGATAACAAATTCAAACAAAATATAATAGTTTAGCTCTTTATTTTAAACATTAGAACAATTTATTAAACAACACTTACATTTTCAAAAAGCCAGTAAAACAACTATTTTATCAATAGTTATTCTGTTTGTTTGTTCCTGTACCCAACACATTTTAATAACATCATACAGAGGTATTGGCATTTTTCTTTTCTTTCAAGTCGTTTACCTGACATCACAAACTCTGCTATTTTCCATGGGTATTAAAAGCCATCTTTTTGATATGCCTCACTCCACCCAACCACCTCATACATAGTCACTCCGAACGAAGAAATGTCCGCGCTTTTAGTGTATTTATCTCGTTTTAGAATTTCAGGCGCCATATACTTTGGAGTGCCTATACCTTTGGTGAAAGTCATGTTAGTCATCAGTAGATTGACGTTTCTTGCACTTCCAAAGTCTGTCAATTTTGCATTCACCTTTTCATTCACATCAAGTGATAACACAAGAATGTTGTCTGGCTTGATGTCTCTGTGTAATATCCCATTCTCATGCAAATATGAAATACCTTTAGCTGCATCAAGTAACATTTTGACTCGTAACTTAGTTTCAATTTCTTCTTTTGTTTTATGTTTAATTAAGTCTTGTAAACTCCCAAATTGTGCAAATTCAGTCACCATACACATCTTGTTTGGTATAAAAACAGCACCATAGAAATGGACAATGTAATCACACCTAAACTTGTCTAACATTTGCACTTCCTTTTCGAATTCATCAATTAATTTTTCTTCATCCGAATTATTAATTTGTTTCATCTTTTTAATTGCAACAACATTTCCTCTGTACATTCCTTTGTACACAATACCAAAAGACCCCTCACCAAGTTTATTTTCTTCAATTAACTCATCGTAGTCAAGACACGTCGAGTTTTCAGTCTTCGCATTTATAATAACATAAGACGATGAATAACATTCCACTGTTTAAAGCTTACAAAACAATTGCGATTTTGTCTTCTAAATTGAGAGTACAATGTGGTGTTAAAAAGACTTCAAATTCACACGCAAATCCACTCTTTAAAGTCACTATTTTGGGTTCTGTTCTTATTAAATATTTTTGTTTGGTGTTTGGTGTTGTGATTCGAACTTTCAAATTTCCTTTTCCTTTGTTTCCAACACAAAGAAGTTCTCGACTTTCTGAATTAACTTTAATAAAGTCTTTTGTGTCATCATTGTTATTAAAAAATCAGTCTTATTTGTCAGAATGTTGTTTCCAAGTACTTTAATTGGAATATTCGATTTTTTCATTGTAAATACACAAAAAGCCTCTTTTTATTTGTTCTTTGTTTTTTATTAATGAAATAAGATAGTGTGATTATTATTAAAGTTAGTATTACCAAAACTATGAATGTCATGACAACAGGAAGTACGACGACCAAACCACAGTTAGTCGTTTTGTCGCATTGAGTTCCATCTGCATTGACTTTGAAATTGTCAGTACATTGCGTGCACTTGTTGTTTAATGCAGAAATACAATTTGAAACAGTTTGAGAAATAAACACACTGTAAGTCGACTAAAATGTGTGTTGCAACACAACCAGTGCACTCAGTTAGTGATGTGCAGAGTGTACAGTTGTCATCACACTTGTCAAACTCACTTGTGTGTAAATAGTACCCATCTTCACATATCAAGCAGCCATAAGTGCTTGTGTTGATACATCCAATTCGCTCACTTTGTGGTCTGCAGTATTTATCGTTTGTACCAATGCGATAGAATGTGTTGTTGCAGTCAATGCAGTTGCCAAAGACATCACGTGTTGCACACTATTCATTTGTGTGAATGAATTTCACATCGCATTTATCACAACTTTTGCCACAGGTGGACGGTTTGTAGATTGGGTGGTCGAATAATTTGGGATTGAATCTGTTTCAATTTTAATTCAATCACAATTCTAATAAAGTTCAACTTGCAATTTTAGATAAAAACATGTTTCTATGTATATTTATAGAACTTGAAGATGTTTATTTTTTATATGGGAAAGTCACACAACAATTATAATTAATTTAAATATAACAATATATATTAATATTCGTAAAATAACAAAAATACATATATAATATTATAATTAAAAATATAAAATAAACAAAGTAACAATTAACAAAATACCAACTAAATATAATTTTTAATGCGATGACTTAATCAATTAAAATTGATTTTGTGTGTTTAAAATATAAATTATTTTTTATATGTTATTATTTATTTGACTTAAATATAAAATTTTTTGCATTGATGTTTTAAAATAAACAGAATTGTTTTTCGCCTTTATTTATTTGTTTAATTATTTAATATTTGATAATTAATAAAATTTTATTGTGATTTAAAACAGAGTTTAAAAACAATAATTAAATTACAATATTTTTGTGTTTGGTTATTGTTTTATTTATTAAAATCACACTTTTACTTAAAAAATAAAAATGATTTAAATAAATATAATATGATAACACATGAAAAGCAATCCGTTTTTAATATTAAAAATAATCGCTACAAACTCTTTTATGCAAATTGATAGTATTACTCAAGTACCAAGCCGGAAAAAAGCATCAAATGGAGAAAAAAACATGTTACCATGTGTATCCGGTTATACATTTAATCCTTTAAACGTTTCAAGAACTGTTTATAAATGCCCACAATGTGATGTTAAAATAGAAATATTAAAAACAGAAGGATCGGGTGAAAATTTCAAATTTCTCCAATTTAAATATGTTGATCAAAATAAGACAGTTCATCCACATCTTCCAAAAATTACCAACAGTGATAAACAATTAACAGAACTGTGCAAACAAGGAACTAACATTTTAAGTTCGGCAACAGCAATATTAGAACAATACCAAACAATCAATCCATCTGATCAAAAAAGAAGAACGTCATTAAGAAGAACAATCAACAAAATAAAAAGTGAATTGATTGGAGATAAAATTGAAGAATTATTGAATAGTGGTAAATACTACATAAAAGACGAAGACCGTTTTTTTATTATGATCTCTAATGAAAAAATGAATAAGATAAAAGATAGAAAAATTGCTTACGTTTGTATGGATGGAAAGTATAATTCTTGTCCAATTTCTTATAAGCAATTATACACAATTCATTGTGTTTTATCTAATGGTCAATGCTTTACGTTTTGTCATTGTTTGATGACTAACAAAACAGAATTGGACTATTTAAATTTGTTCCATTTATTAAACGAATATTTTATAACTCACATGGGTTATTTATTGTTTGATGAAAATACAAGTGTTATGCTTGATTTCGAAACTGCTGTCATCAATGCTCTAATTGGGTTTAAATGTTGTGTCCATGTTTGCTATTTCCATTTTACCCAATGCATATGGAGAAAAGTACAACCCTTGGGTCTTTCACAGCAATATTATCCAGAAACATCAATATGGTCCATTGTCAACAATTAGAAAACTTTGGATTTTTTAAAGCAAGTGAAATACCACACAGATTTGATATTATTAACAACAAAGCCGTCAGTTGTAAATTCGATGATAAAACAAAACAACTTGTAATGGAGTTGCTTATGTATTTTAAGCTGAATTGGTTAGAAAAGTGGCCAATCAAATTGTGGTGCCAGTTCAATCAAAAATTGAGGACTGATAATTTGAGTGAATCTTATCATTCAGCACTCGTGAAAAGGCTGTGTTGTAAGAAACCAACTTTGAACAAATTGTTAATCACTTTAATGAAACACAAAGATTCGGAATTGTTAAAAATTAATCAAATGGATAAGGGGAAGAATCATTTTATTAACAGACCAACACTATACACAATCTAACCTTAAATTATTATAGTAAAAGTGGATCAATTGATTCATTTGAAAAGTATTTGATTGAAACTATTGATACGTTCAGATGGTTTAAATTGTATGAACAAACACAAGTTGAAGAACCTATCGATATGACAAAGTGTTTAGAATGGAAAATTCAGGAAGCAGACGAAAAAACAATTAATGATATTAGAGATTATTCAAAACAAATTTGCACAACAGAACGGTGTGTACAAGAAGACTCTGTATTTAATACCGAGAATGAAACAACGACAATTGATTCCCCCAAAGAATTGGTAAATGAAGTTGTGTTATGTGAAACAGGTTTTGATAAAACAAATTATTTGCCACCATCAAAAAGAAGATTTGTTGGTGATGGCAAAAGAAAAAAGAAAGTTACAAAGAAAAATACAACTAAAAGATTTCTTTAAATTATTAATTTCCAACATCAATTACATTTGAAACGTATACTATAAATAAATATAAAATAAACTATTGTAATAATAAAACATATATTTTATAGTGTTATTTTGATTCTTATTATTTTACAAATAATTATATTTATTATAAATTTAAATTAATTATAATTGTTGTGTGACTTTCCCATATAAAAAATAAACATCTTCAAGTTCTATAAATATACATAGAAACATGTTTTTATCTAAAATTGCAAGTTGAACTTTATTAGAATTGTGATTGAATTAAAATTGAAACAGATTCAATCCCAAATTATTCAATTACTAAATATTAAAATCCAATTTATTTGACCCTTTAACCCGGTTTGTATCCATCTTTGCAAATAGCATATCCATTGTAATTTGGCATCATTGCCAGACATGTTGTGATGATTTCGCAGAGTGTTGTGCAATTCCCATACGTGTTAGGATTAGAGTATTGGTCATACTTTGTGCAGAATGTCAGATTGGAGCAACAAATAAATAATTAATTTGATTGATCACACAACAAAAAATATTTCAACACAATAACTGGATTTAAAAAAATAAATTCTATCAATATCAGAAAAAATAATAAATATTTACAACTCTTAATAATCTATTAGTTGCAAATTCAACAAAAAATGATAATAAATTGATAAACAACGACGTTGGTACATACAAGATTTATTAAAAACAAGAACTTCAAGTTTTTTTAAGACTCACTTTTTCATATGATTATATAATATATACAAATTTAAAGATTGTGTAAATTGGCTTTAAATTGGTTCTTTGTTTGTTTGGTGATTATATATTAACTAATATGTATTTAACATATTTATTGTTGTTTGTTACAAATTTTAATAATTATACACATCATTTTTTTGCTTTTTAAAAAACATTAAATGACAAAATAAATTTTGGATTATATTATTAGTCAATTGACTAAATAATAGACCAAAAATGTATTACTTGAAAAAGGTGCAGAAAAAACGGCTGGATCTAAAAGATCCACCGAGGTAAAATTTATACTTTTATACCAAAATGAATAAATTCATGGTAAAATAATTTTACTTCAACCTTAAACTTTATTTATCATTAATATTTATTTTTATTCGATAAAATATTTTTATCTTATATCACTCTATTAATAGGAAAAATTGAGTGTGTTAAGTTAATACTGATTATTGAGTTAATCCTTCTTAGCTGTAAACAAAGACGAAAAATAACTTAAAAATGATCAAAACGTCCTTGTATTTTAAGAACGAATTTTCCAACTTCCTTTTCAACCTCCAAATTTTTAATTGCGTCTTTAAGACCAATAATTTTACCAATTGTGTGTGCTTTTATGTTTTCAAAGGTCGAATTTTGATATCCAAAAGTGTATAAATATTTTGCAACAAGAGATGTAACACGTGTGCTGTACATTTCCAAATTCACAACAATTCCCAATTCAAGTTTCTCGAAATTCATATTTGAAAAGGTTGCTTCCTCCACATTTCCAAGTGTAAGTGATACCTTTGTGTTATCATTCAATTCTGGTTGCCTCAAATCAAATGATTTAATTTCAAAGAAAGACAAGTCGGCATTTCCAACATAACTATTGATATACACACGTTTCAAAATACCATTGTAATTCACTTCTTTAGCAACAAATTCACACTTCACGTCCGATTCATCACTCTCAACGATAAAATCAAAGGGGTCATAATTAGAAACACTAAAACTTTTTATAACATCACAATTTAACACCATTTTATCAGTAATTTCAACACTACTTGGACTTGTTTTGTGAATGAAAGAAACACACGTTTTCTGTGTATTAGTTAATGAAAAATCATTCAATACAGTGTTGTTAATGACAAGCGCCCTTCCATTGTAATTTTTAATATCAAGCATTTCTAAAACACAGTCGTCCAAATACACATTACCATACACGTTTTCTATAGTAAGGTGTTTGACACTTTGGGGTAACACAACTTTCTCAACTATAACGTTGAACATGGAAATTGTTCGAATGGTTGTGGTCTCAAAATTCAGAATTTGTTTGTGATGTGACACTCCTTTTAAATATCCTTTTAGAATATTTTGAATGTCATTTTTGTTGTAATTTTTCAGAACAACATTATTGAGTAAACACTTGTTGAGAACTTCAGTGACTGCACTGTCACATTTATCGCAATATGAATCCACTAGAATTTGGTCGCGGTTTAATGCATCACGAGAGAATGGTTCATCATTTTCATCAAAATCAGAGAAATGTGTAACAAAGACATTATAGAAACTATTTTGTAAAACACCTGTTGGGATGAAATCGAAATCGAATAAATCAGTAAGAATGGTGCAATAAAATTTGACATTTCTATACTGCAATTTCTTTTGTGTTACTTTGAAATTTTCGTTCATATTATCAAGATCCATTTTAATTACAATAAAGACGTATTCTGTTAATGGGTGTTTCGAATAATCGAACTTGGAAAGGACCTCAAGTTGACTTGCATAAATTGTCAAAATGACTCTTCTCAAAGTCCTGTGACCAATCATTTCGAAAAGTCGATTGTTTGCATTTGCTGTGAACATTGAAAGGTCAACAAATAGAACTTGGAGGTTCTGAAACATCTCTACGTCGCTTGTTAAGCAGTCCAAGTTGTAAAATTTGATTCGGAGTTTTCTGATTTTTTCAATGATGTTTTTTGATTGAATTGTATAAAAAGAAAAGGTTTTTGAACACGACAAAAAGTCGATTTCAAGGTGTGTCACTTCTGTCTGCAATTTTCTGTTTTTGGTGATCAAGTCTGTTAAATATAATGTTTGAAGCGCTGGAAACAATTTTTGTATTTTTTCCACAGAGTTGTAATATGACAGTTTGTATGGGTTAATATACATCGAGTCGACAACATCTCTGCACTTTTTGTTCATAAAAATGAATGATATTATATCACTCATAGTGGCCATATAAAGAACAACATTTTTGAGGTACAACAATTCTAATTGAGTCATATATATTAAACAGATGTTATTTGTTATATTATATATCCTAGTTTGTTTTTTGAATAAAATAAATCATTTAATTGTATTTTTTTAAAAATGAGGTTTAATTTCAATAATTATTTTATTTAAACATGGCATTTTATTATTTATTTTGATTGATTAACACTTAAAATAACATTAAACAAAAATTAAATAAACTAAAATTCGAAAAATCTAGAGTTTATTTTAAAAATTTCTTGTTTTTTAAGTATATATTATGTTAATAACATTACACAAGTTAAAAGGGGAAAATCATTTGAAATTGAATTAATATTTCCAATAATTCCATATAACAGGCCAACTAAAATAAAAAAGCGTTGTTTTAAGTATTAATAACAGTTATGTAAATTGATATAAGTGTTTGTGTCATCACATATTATTAAAGTTTTTTCAACACCTTTTGAAAATTGTAACCCAAATAATAAAGAAAAATGATTTTTATTTGGTTATATAAATAAGAAATTAATTTGTTATTTAAACCTATTGACATCTTAATTTCTCGAATTTAAGTCGTAATTTCCCAATAATTTATTTGGTTCCATCTTCAAAATTTATTATTTGTCTACTTTTTAAAATTAAACAAACCAAACTAAAAAAATGTTTTCTCTAAAATTTAAAAAATAATTTGATATATAAAATACATTTTACCAACAACATTGGTATGTTGTTGGTCAACACTGCATCAACTAATTGTTGTTTAAAATAGCAGTACACACCAATGTTTTTATTTGTAGTTCTTTCGAGTCAGTAAAGACTGAGTGATACAGAGCATTAAAAAGGCTTTGCAACGAATTCAAACAGTCCGTTTGTGTACCGCTTCCATTTTCTTTTAATTTCCTTCCTTGGCTCGGACCTATGGAAGAAAAGTAATGTTACGATATGAAAATCATAAATACAGTAAAACCTCCGAAGAGTGGGTTCTCTCAAGAGCGGGCATTTTTTAGACCGAAACTAAAAATAGAGTTCTCTGCCGAGCGGTAATTAAGATTTGATTGGCTAAAAATGCCCGCTCTTGAGAGAACAAAATTACCACGCCCTCCCGCTCTTGGGAGGTTTTACTGTAGTAGAAAAAATGTAAAATATTTATTAAATATTGTTCCAAAAAACATTAAAAACGAATGTAATGCACTTCGACTTCACTTTCAGCAACTTAAGAACGACTCGATGTAATCTTTTTTTTCTTTTCATATCTTTGGATTCGG